TGTGGGGAGCCGGGGGTTGCAGGGGTGACCTGTGTGGAAAGGGGCCCTGTGCTAGTTCCAGCCAGCTCCAAACCAGACAAAACCAGCCCATTGCATATCAAAACTGCAACTGGTCGGCGCAGCACGCAGTGCTTCTCTTCAGATGTATTTAAGAAAACTGTTAGGGACAGGTGTCACAGAAAGGAGACATGGGAGGAGGCAAATGAGGAGACGCGGAAGGGCACACGGGAGGACAAATGTGAGGATGCAAAAAAGGAGACATGGAGTCATAATAAAAGATACAAAAAAGTGACGTGGGGCAGGAGGTGCAAAAGGACGTGTGTGAGGACAAAAAAGGAGACACAAAAGCAAAGATGTGAGGAGACAGGAGGAGATGTGAGAGAGATACAAGGGAGCATGCAAAAGGAGATAGGAGATATGTGAAGAGACATGTCTGGTGTAAAGGGTGGAAGAAGTGGAGGAGACATGTGGAAGGGGACACTGTTGGGTTCATGGAGGGAGATGCTCTCTTGGAAGGAAGAACTCTGTGCTGGAGGAGATAGCCTTGAGGGACTACAATCCATGCTGGGACAGGGACACCCCTGAGGGACTGTGACCTATGGAGAACCTGTGCCAGGGCAGGTACACACAGAGGGACTGCAGGTTGCGGACGACCTATGCTGGAGCAGAGGAGCAGTAAGAAACAAGGAGCAGTGGGGGAAATGGGACATGTGTGAGAAACAAGCTCATTTCATCAATTTTAGCCAGGGACAAAGTCTGTGGAGCAAAGAATATTTTATTTACAGCGCTGGGAGCTTCACAGGGGATTCCTCCTCTGTGGCTCAACTCTGGCTCTCCAAAAGGCTCGTTTTTATCTCCCATATTGTTACATAGTCATAGTTTTTCCAAGGATAGGCGGCCTGTATTACAGTTAGTTCCAGGAACTTATTATCCTAAGTCTCCTCCCTTCGGCGCTTGCACGTTGCTCTCTGGTTGTCCTGGGCTGGGGTCTCTGGGATGAAGTAAGAAGTCTTCCTCACGATGCTCTTGTCACCTTTGGCAGAGTTAGTTGCTTCTGTAACTGCAAGACCAGCTGAAACTGGCCCTTATCAATGGCTTCATTCTGTTGCTTTATCAAGTGTTATGCTTATCTTACACTCAGGATAAGCTAGACTAGATTACCAGAAACTACTCCCCTCCCTAAGCTCTTGGTTTCCTTATATATCCACATAAAACACTGTAACCTAACACACATTGATATTGCCAAACTTATGAACATTAAACAAATTAATTGTTAGCTGAAGCAAAATTTCCCCATTCAGTTATTTATTACATTTGCAAGGAGTATCCAAAAGAAATTGTCATGCACTGCCCAATAGCCCCCTGTGCCTGTTGCCTCACCAAAGGAATTGTGACAGATTGAGTGTAAGCCTCAGTGAAAACAAAGGGAAGTTGAGACAAGGAAAAGGGGAGGAGAGGTGTTGGACTGAAGATGAGCCTGTGGAGAGAGGAGGAAAGGTGTTTCCGAAAGTGTTTGTTTAATTTTTGGCTGGTGTATCCCCATTGCCTCCTCCCCCGCTAATATCTGAATCAGTAATTAAAAGTTTACATTAATTTGTTATAAATTAAATTAAGCTAAATTCTCCAAGTCAAGAATGCTTTGCCTATTGCAGTACATTAATTATGCTGGGATGTGACGTTGTTTAGAAGTGGCACAGCCAAACAGTACAAATCCCATGTGAACATAATATGTGTAGAGTTTCCCCTCTCCATGCGTGAAACTGGTGTTACCCCTGTTTTGCTGTGTCAGTGCTTTGGCATCTTCACAAGTATAGCTTTCTAGAGGAGGGCCAGCACCAGACAGTTGCAGGCATTCATGTGTGGTGATCTTTGAACAACTTGTGTAGGCAAAAGCCATAGAATAGGTGCAGTTTTATTTCCGAAGCATTATATTCAGGCTGTAAAAGATTCGTTGTGGGGCAGAGCTGGAGCAAACTTCTGCTGTTGGTGTGTTATTTCTGCAGGGTAGAGTTGCGTGACCATTTCTTTTCCCCCACTCCCAAACTCTTTGCTGGTGCACTAGTACGAGCCCAGCAGCAACTACACCATGTACTCCAGGTGTAACGTGGCTAAAAAAAAACCAACCTCACTCCCTCGCTCTTCTTCCTTCCAAACACAAGTGGAGCAGTAGAGAGCAAAGGGAGAGAAGAGAGGGAGGGGAGATGGCAGCGTCTTTCCATTTCTTGCAATTATATGGAACAAAAGTGTGTGTTACCCTTCTAGTTTAAAGGAAAGCAGAGGGTATGGAGGAGACTGGCAGCTCACTGTGATGTGGCTGTTCACCAGTGCCTGGTGCCACCAGCTGAATGATATGTTGTTGTCTACCCTCCAAAGCAGTCTCTGAGAGACTGAAGGTATGTTGAAGACTCATAGGATGATAAGGCTTTTGTTTAAACGGAAAAAACCCTGAGAGATAAAAAAACGTAAGTGGAGATTTTATTTATTTTTTCCAACTGAAGAATTATTAATTTGAAATGGAAAATTCTGTTCTATTTTTGAGCTGACGCACAGCCATCTGTAGCAGGCATAATGGAGTTCTCGCCTATGTTTTGCACGTTTTTGGTTTGTCTCACAAAACTTCTGTTTTTACTGTTGAATTTATTGATTTTATTTCTTTTAAATTATGCAAACTTCTTCCGAAAGGGCAACAGAGATTAAAGCAGAAAAGACACTAAAATATTTTGCATCTTTTGGACAATTTTTTTTTTCTTTTCTTTAAAGAGCATATTCCTTGTCAATCTTACTGGTTTTTTCTTTATTAAGAGCCTGGCGCCACTCCGACTATGCAGGCTTTGAGGGAGGCATTGGCACATTGATGACAGTGCCCTTCAATTAGACTGTGCCTTGACACACCTTTTTTCAGCCTGTTAAAGACTATTTCTGGGGAAAAAACTCAGCTCTATTCTTCCATCTGCTGCAATGTACCTCTTTATGGTTAAATCTATGGGTTGGACTGCAGAGATCTAAAGCTGGGGCCTGGCCAGGACAGTCACAATAGGCTTTTAAAACCAGAAATAGCACTGTGTATCCCAGCTTAGCTGCCTGACAGGAGGGTGTGTATATAGGTGTCACCCTACACTTGAGTCTGGCACTGTGGGTAGAATAATTGGGAAAGGAGAAGTATGTGTCTTTTGAAGATGATTGCTGTACTGAAGGCTTACCAGTCATAGTGTTCAATTCTCTTTCACAAAGTGGTTTTAAAGGGTGAAAGAAGAGCAAAATAATTTGTTTGGGTTTTTTTCTCTTCAGTGAAGGAAAGTGTTAAGTGCTTTAAACCTAAAGACTTAAATATAAAATGAATAGCATGGTCGAGAACAGAGGTACTGTGTGAAGGAACATAATGAACACTACCATGTTGTGGAGCTTTGTAGCAAATATGGGACACAGGGTGGTTACTGGGGAATAAATGGAAGGGAAACAAGTACCACTCTGTGATTATGAGAGATGAGACCTCTCGACAGGAACAGATGATAGTGCTGGGGTTTTACATGAGTTCTCAGTCTTGAGAGGGCTGGCTTCTCCTCTTGGGAAATGAAACAACTCGGAAGCAGCTGTCCCACTTGCTGTCGGGTGCCAGGTTCATTAGTATGGCAGCAAACTGGAGGACAGAAGAGAATCTAAAATTATAGTATCTAGGATTCTTCTTCTACATGTCTGACTTGAAAGTAATGAACTGACGTGAAGATATGGACTGATGCAGATACAGTGGACCAAGTGCTGTATTTCTTTACACGTGGCAAGCACAGTGTGCATCCAGGAACTAAGGGTCAGTCTTGGTTTGTGATAAACTAAGGAAGAGGTTTGAAAGTATTTTATTTTTAGGAGAATAATCTTTGCTAGAGAACAATATATTGTATCAGATCCAACAGCAGAAGAGACACGAGACTGCTGCTGCTTCGTGTCCAGACAGTAGCAAGGCTGAGGATGTATTCATCACGCACGTACACTGTATATGTATGTACATGTACATGGCTGGCCACGCATATCCCAGGCAGACACTCAGAGCACCCACATGAACACAGGCAGCACTGACAGCCCCATCCTTCTCTCGCTCTGGCTGGACAGGATAGAAGTCCACAAGTGAGAATATACAGAGGTGGATCCCTCCAGCAGCTGCACTTAGACCCCAGTTGTTCACACCCCAGTATGCACATGTGTGCACAGAATTGAAAGCCCTATCCAGGAAAGAGAAAGGAATTTAATAAGAAGACAAGACACCCTGATCAGGCAGAGGGCATCACCAGGCAAGTGGACTGACCAGCAAGCTAGTTACCTACATCTGGCCCTTGTTATTTCCTTACATCTCTATTTTCCCACTCTTGTTCCTCCCAAAATCACCTTAACTCCTCCCTTGCCCAGCCTTTGGTTCCTAAATATGGTAAGTCCTGTGTAATTCCAAACTGTTCTTCCCTTGCACCCCGTAATATGTCCCACCCCTAGGCAGTGACCCCCTTAGTCCAAAGGGTGACCTGGAGAGCTTCTCCTGGTGATGGGTTTCATGCCTGGACATTGGGACTGTCCTGGGAGGGGCCTAGACAAGGTGCTGGTTCCTTTAGAGTCCTTGTTGTGGGATCCTGCCTGCCACTGTGCTCCTCTAGGCTTGAGCAGATGGGATTTTGAGGGGCTGATGGCCCCTGTGGTGGACCTGGCAGGGTCTATTTGGGCTCCCCCTCCTGCCACTGTCCCTTTGTGTTTTTTGTGTGTGTGCAGATGAGCTTTGTCACAGAACCTCACAGCCTGAACATGGGCTGTGGTATCTAATGGAGCCCTGTGGGCACTGTGGCAGCATGAAGAAGCTGGGATGCTTTTTTAAAGATGACCTAAAGGCATAGTTCAAGCATGCTGGCATGAAGGAGAGTTCAGCATGTGGCTCTGCCATAGTGCTGTCTGTTGCCTTCACTGTCAATATATTTTTCTTCTTTCCTCCCCTCCAGATCATGACTGTCTTGGGACAGCAGGCTCTGATGGGAGCAAGAATGCTCAGGATGCCCAACTGCCTGCTAAAACTGACCAGGGTGGTGCTGAGCCACAAGCTCAGGGCTCTGTTTATCCTTGCCTTTAAGTTCATGTCCTTTGCCTCCATCATGTTGTACTGGAGAATGGTGGAGGATCCTAAGGGCAGAGGCCAGCTCTACAGCTTGCCTGTTGAAATCCGCTGTGCTCACTCTGTGCCTTCTCCACACACCATTGCTGCTGGGCCCCCTTCTTCCCCGGAGAAGAATGTGTTTTTTGTGGAGACCTCGGAGCGAACTGACCCAAGTTACCTGTTCATGTGCTCTGTGGAGTCAGCAGCCCGCACGCACCCTGGGACAAGGGTCGTGGTGCTCATGAAAGGCTTGGCAAAAGGGAACTCCTCCTTACCCAACCACTGGGGCTTCTCGTTGCTGAGCTGCTTCCCCAATGTGGAAATCCGGCCCCTGGACTTGCCAGAGCTTTTCTCTGGAACACCTCTGGCAAAGTGGTACTTGCAGGCTCAGCAGCGCTGGGAGCCTTATTTCTTACCCGTCCTGTCTGATGCCTGCAGAATTGCCATCATGTGGAAATTTGGTGGCATCTACCTGGACACAGACTTCATTGTGCTTAAGAACTTAAAGAACCTCACCAATGTGCTTGGTATCCAGTCCAAGTACGTACTGAATGGGGCCTTTCTGTCCTTTAAGCCCAAACACAAGTTCATGGAGCTTTGCATGCAGGACTTTGTGGATAATTACAACAGCTGGATTTGGGGACACCAGGGCCCGCAGCTCCTAACACGTGTCTTCAAGAAATGGTGCTCTATCAGGAGTCTTCGGAGCAGTACTAGCTGCAAAGGAGTGAGTGCTCTGCCCCGTGAGGCTTTTTATCCCATTCGGTGGCAGGACTGGAAGAAATACTTTGAAGCGGTCAGCTCCTCAGAGCTTCACCACCTCTTTAATAACACCTATGCAGTGCATGTATGGAACAAGAAGAGCCAAGGGACACGGTTAAAGATCACATCCCAGGCTTTGCTGGCTCAACTGCATTCCCACTTCTGCCCTGCCACGTACGATATCATGAAGAAGGACTCTCTATGGAAGTGACTCAATGGCCCGCTAAGAGATGCTGCCGGAGAGCTCGTAACTCTCCAGCTGTTCCATCAAAAATGAACCTTCTTTTGAAGTGAGGAGGTGAGAGTTGAGAATAAAAGCCATTTGTGGGGTGTAGGTGGAGCCTGAATCTTCAGCCAGTGTCTATGCATCTCTTTGTCTTGACTGTAACTGCCTACCAGTAACATTTTGTTTCTCTGAAGGATCTTTCTTCTGCTTTGGTCAGGCAAAGAAATCTCAGGAGAAGAGCAAATGCTGGTTCACTTGTGGCAGCCTACATCAGCCTTTCAGAGGAATAAGGCCCCTTACTATAGCTGTATACCTGGAAGAGAACTTTATAGAAATGCTTATCTCATTGACTGATTCTTAGGACTTCTGAAGTGCAGTCCTCAAAGCAATGAAAAGATGGAAGCACAAAGAACAGGAAGTGAGGAGGAAGCTAAGGATGGGCTAGAGAAGGTGTCCTGAGAAAAATGTAGGTGAAAACAGAGAAGAACGAGCTAAGGCAGCTTCTTATTCTTTTTGTTCCTTTCTCTTCTGAAGTCTTTGGTGGAGGAGACTTTCTCATGTCTGGCTTGAGCAGGGAGCAGGATGCTGCAGTCTCTGTTCGATGTCCTAGATCTAAAGATGTAAAAATCTGGTGCAAATCAGAACATGAGGAGCTCAGCCCAGCTCATTGTTTAGAAGGAGCTCTTGAAAAGCAATGGTTGGTTTTATAGTAGGGGCGAATTAACACCCTGTGATGAGCAGGAGAGCTCACCTCGATCACACGTGTGTACGTGACACAGGAAAAGCTGAACTGTCTTTTACACTGAGTTTGTCTTTGTCGCCAAATGTCCATAACTGCATCTAAGAAGCACCAGATCTTTCAGGACTTGGAGGGATTCTAAAAGAAATGCATTGTATTTCCAAGTATTTCCAAGGTTACAGAGAGGGATGGATAGGGAACCTGTACTGTGTAAATTCAAGTTCATTTATGAGTCATTTGTGATGGACCTCTTCAAGTAGCCTGGAGTACTCCTGCAATTCACTGTCCAGGAGTACAAATCTCTTCTAGGAGGTCTTGAGGAGGACAGTGGGAAGATTTACTCTTCTCCCTGAACATCTTCCTGAATTGTAGTGGAGAAAATTAACATATATTTCACAACGTGCTATTGCGCCTTTGAGGATTCCCACCACAGAGGCAAGCTTGGACAAACTGTGGGAGAACACTTGTCCCTTTATGGCCAGAAGGACTTACCAATGCTCTTAGAGTTCTTGTCAGAAAATAATGGAGAAAGATCAGTGAGAAACAAGAATATGGTTAAGACCATCAGCATCATTACATCTGGTCCCCACCACACTCCAAAGTGGATTGGTGAGGCACATGAGCTTGGCACTATGATAGGCTTAATGCAGATGGACAAAGCATTGGCCATTCTCTCTTGTACTGTAAAATATTTTCTGCCTCCAGTGTGTCTCCTATGCTTATGCCTAGGAACAGCAGTGGGGTGGTCCAGTGGCCCCTTTAATGAACACAAGTCAGTCAGATTATCAATGTCACCTAGCCTCAAAGTGACAGCTCTTTTACATGGTGTTTCTTGCAAGTCCTCTGAGAGTGACCCAAATGATTTCTAGGGCTGCAGTTGCGTGAGGCCTCTTCTGTTTCCCAGGTCAACCAAAAGCAATGTGAAGTTCAGCCAAAGCAATGGTCAAAACCATAAGAGATTGCGCATGCAACATTTTTCTGTTTTTCTCGGGTTTATTTGTCTCTTCTTTGATGAGAGACTTTCTTATAATAATGAGAAAGACAAATTGCCCATCATTTTTACAAACAGTTCCCTGTCCCTCAGGGAACACAGCTATGGGAGCTTAAGGAGGGTGTACGCTACTTTTTAAATGCTGAGCTGTCTGGTGTTGATCGGAGGCAACTGGTGCTTTGATTAAATACATCTCTGTGACTTTGGCAGGGTGTGAGGTCTGTGCACATGTAGCTACTCTGAAGCGAGGGAGGTGCTGTAAACACCCCTCCAGTGGCTGGTAACACATGTGTGTGTGTGTGCGTGTGCGTATACACGTAGTGCTGTCCTTTTGTTCTGCTGAGCTTCACGGTATATCCTGGAGGCATTCGGGATTTTGAATGTCTGCAGCTCTCCCAACACTGAACATCTTTAAGAACAAAGACTTCGTGGGGAAACAGGAGATTTTATTGACTGTATAAGCATTCTTCAACACACTAAGTGGTATAAATGGATGCTGTTTTCACTCTCTACTCCCACTGTCACTACTCTGTGGGTTTTTTTCACTGCTTTCTTTAGAAGCAGTTGCAAAATTGTCAGCCCTGGCCTAGTGTGTGGTCAGTAAGGTGTGGTTTCTCCTTCTGCAGTTGCCGTTCCTTCTGTTTTGGGCACTTTGGGCTAAACAACAGAAATCTTAGTGAGCTACGAACCCCTACCACAGATGGTGTAATTGTGGGTGGTAATCATAAAGGCGTAACAGGGGACTTTACTGTGGCAATTCCATGAACTGAATATGGGAGTATTTGGAGCCCACTGCAATGAATATTTGGCTTGATGTAGCACTGCTTATTCTAGGAAAGTGCCTTTTTGGATAAGAGGAGTGATATTTGTTTGTTTGGGTTTTGTTGGTTTGTTTGTTTTCCCCTGTAGAGTCAATGTTCTGAGGTTTGATAAGGAGAGAATCAAACCAAAGCAGCTTTTGGCCTTCTTCCCTTTGTCTTGTGAAAGAAAAATAAATACAGCTTTTACTATTACTTCTCTCTGCCAAGATGTTCCATTTTGTTCTGCGAGGCGTTGGTGGCTAAGTCTGAGCAATCTGTTAGTTATTATGCAGAAAAGCATTTTAAAGTTGTGTCCTGAAGTAACTCACTAAAATTAGGAGTGTGGAATGAACATGAGACAAGCTGAGCATAAGCACATGTGGAAAGAAGGCTCTGTGACCATGACTATATGCCATTTTTGGCACTTGAGTGGAAGGAACAGAGGAAAGCACAGTGTGTGAAACTGATTCCTAACCCAACCAGCTATCACCCCATGATTTATGACCTGCAGTCTATCTGAAGCAAAGCATTTTAGTCTCGCTCTGGAGGTCTGGATGTTATGGAATAGCAAAGTCCACGAGAAACTGTGTTGCTTTTTTCCCTGCACCATGGGCTACAGCCTCCCTTAGTAGAGACAGTGGCTATGCTCTTGTAGATCTAAGAGTGGAGAGCTTGTGCTGCATCTGTTCATTTTCCCACCTGCCTTTTCAGAGCCTGATCTAAAGACCCTGGAGTCCAGGGGAGCATTCTGAAAGGCTGTGAAAGGACTTGTATGGTCTGATGTGCAGAGGAGTTTTATTGTAACTCCTTGAGTCAAGAGCCAGGGAGAGTTTTCCCTTGAGATATAAAATAGTTGCCTGTGTTTTCTTCATTGCTGACAGGCAGTGAAGGATGATGGGCAGTGCTGAGAAGGCATGAGCTCACTCTTCCCATCTCCTTTGTCCTTGGGCTCATGAAGGTTAGCAGGTACACATGTGTGCAGAATATCAAGGAGAGAAACCAGGGGTGGGGGTTGGAGATGCAGAATTGGACAGTGCAACAGAAGAGGAGTAAGGAAGGATCAAAAGCATAATCCTGGACCCAGTCTCCTGGGAAAGGGCTGAAAGATGGTTATTTTCCATGTGCTGGCTCTTGTGCTGTGGGGATCTAGGATATGCAGTAAGTTGTAATGCTCTGTAAGACTCTTCCCCCACCACCCCGTTATCCTCCCTGTTTCTTCTCCCTTCTCCCAACATGTGTAGTCCAGGGAGGCTGTGGTACGAAGCAGGTTAAGAGCCCTTCTTGGGGGAGGGTGCAGTTACCTGCCTTAATCTTATATATGTTGGGAACTGAGGTCTGCATAGGGCTGGTTTGTCCTCAGCAGGAGAGAAGAGGGGAAAAAACAAAGCTCTCCACATGATCTGTTAGGATATGCCATTTATGAACACCAGCACTCTGGTCTTTCAGATTCATCTGTCTCAAGTATCTGAGACCATTCTCTGTATGCAGGTAGCTTGTGGTCTTTCTGTTACCTTCTTGCGACCATGCCTGGAACTCAGATGAATAGGCATAGTCCAGAAGAGAAAACTACAGGAGGAAGTCACTTCAGCTGCACCCTGCCATTACAGCTCAGTCTGGGATCTTGACCTTTAAATTTCTGTATAATGATGGAGCCAAATAGCAGCTTGCCATGGCTCTGCAGTATGTTGGTAGAGGTATAACAACTAAGTCTGGCAAGTTAAATGTGAAAACACCATGAGGCTGTAGGAAACACTGTTTGAAAAACAATTTCCCAAAGATATTAAAGTTACCAATGTTGTTGTTGTTTTTTCCAACTGCAAAAGGAACGAGAAGCCTGCTAGGGAGGTGGAAGGTCAGTAGGAAATGAGAGTTTGAAAGGGAGTTCAGAGACTGATTTGAAGCAACCCAAAATTCATTTCTACAGGTAACAGGAACTTGGAGATGATTCTTTACATCGTAATTTCTCCTTGTGGGGGATACATGCCACAGTCTCTTGTGCATCACATGTCAGGACTGAATGAACAGGTAGATGATTAGGTAGATTTAGATTAGATATTATGAAAAAATGACTTACTGTGAGGGTGGTGAGGCACTGGATCTTTAAGGTCCCTTCCAACCCAAACCATTCTGTGATTCTATGATAGGAGCTGATGGGATGCATCCACAAGTGCTGTGAGAGCTGTCTGCTGTCATTATGAGTCCCCTCGGTGATACTTTAAAGGTCTTAGAGATTGGGGGTAGTGGAAGGAAGCAACAGTCACTCCTATCTTGATTGTCTTCAAGATGTACAAGGAAGAGGATCCAGAGAACTACAGGCCAGTCAGCGTCACCTTGAACCCTGAGAGGTGGTCCTCTAGGAAGTCATCTACAAACATATTAAGGATAAGAAGGTGATTAGGAGTAGCCGAATTGGATTTACAAAGGGGAAATTACGCCTGGCCAAACTGATAGCCTT